AAAGATATCAAAAAGTGGTTAACTAGTAAAATGTTTATCAGGATATCAGCAACATTTTACTATTTAGCCACTTTTCGATACCTTTCACAGAAAATGAGATATATAGGCTCAAAGTGGNCGATCCGGGTGTCGTTCTATTAGAGGTTTTACGGTATGTATTGTCAAAGAAAGTTGGATAAAGACAAGAAAAAAAGAGAAATTAAAAGACGAAGGCACCCGAATCTGACCATATCTGATTTGAGTCGCTACGCAGCGAAATTGCTGCACATCTAACATGGAATAGAGAGGAGGAAATAGAGAAAAAGACACAGAGAACACCTGGAGAGGCATAAGAAGGTGCTGATTCCAAAAACGAAGAGAAGGGATTGTTGTATCATGCCTGAGTCGATGTGCATCAAAATAGCTGCATATCTAACATGGATCAGATGGGAGGGTACAGAGAAAGAGACAAAAGGGGGAAATTGAGAACAAACGAGCTACATAGAGAACATCTGTCCATAGGACATGCAAGAAGAGGAGATATAGGAAAATCAGAAGAGACAAAGGAATATAAAAACAAGGGAAATGAATAATGCAACATAACCAAAAAAGCAAGAAAAAATGAACGGTTGAAGGATGGATATACATCACAGATGATGATTGAGCAGCAAGTGGAGTTTTTGACTTTCCATGGATTCAAATGCTCGATGCGATAGGATTCCGACTAAAACCCTTCTAGTTTATTTGTCCAAATAGTTCAAACAGCTTACACTAGGAACTTGAGTGTTGACGAGGTTGCTAAATCCAATTTCAACCATCCGATTGTTCCATCCTCTTTGGCGACTCGAACGGGGTTGAGGATATTGCTATCTCCGCCCAATCTGAGAACATTAATGAATATATTTCTAAAACTACTTATGAAGAGCTTACGATGCTCTCATCCTGGGGGAATGATGACGCTCAATTGGTGGAATCATTCCGAGAATCGGAGATTTGTTATCAGTCTTCTTGCTCTCGATTTGAAGCCAACAAAGATTCGGAAATGATCCTGACTTTTTCGATTTTCGGAAGAACACATCCATGTCCTGATTGCTCAACAAAGATCCCCATAGTTCAATCCGAACACATGTGCAATCTAATAGTTGGTCAATGGTAAACCAACACGAGTAGTGCAAAAGAATCTCTTCTGGGAACTTGTCCAATTTCAGGCGGAAATTGGACGGAAACTTTTGCAAACAAACAATTTTCTGGGTGATATTCATCTGGTTGAAAAGTGGCATCAACTTGTCAACGTCTGGGACTTCTGAAGTATCCACAATATGGACTTCTTCAACTTCAATGTTTCTTCCGATCAATTCTCTTGCTGCGATTCATCGTTTAACGCCTGATTTCGCACCTCTCAGAACTTCAAAGCTTGTTGTATTTTATATCATTTTGTAGCTGTTTTCTAGTTGTATCCTTTTTCATTTACCCCATTCTGTAATCTTAACTTTTAAGCAAGTTACGCTCTTTCTATTCGCCATTCTCTGTACGCCCCACATTCCAACTGCTACTCGTTTAACGCTTTCTTTCTCACCTCATAAAAACTCAAATCTACCCAAATGTTATACTATTTCATAGAAATTTTTAAAGGAGGCCAGACATGAAAATTTCAAAATTCTAGTTTTCTGATATATAACACAGTACAGTCAGAAAATAACATTGGACACCAAACCATAACTTCCTGTTACTGTACAAGCGAGAACGCGACCGTTCTTTCAAGCGGCGCCAACTCCTCGTTTCATAATCGTTTTAGTGGCAGTAGACGACTAGCCCCCTGTGGTGTAGAGGTGAAAGCGCTTGTCTATCAGTCGCGCGTCGCGGGTTCGATTCCCATCTGTGCGTTTTCGTTTTTTTTTCTGTTTTCATGCGGCGACATCCTAGAATGGCCGAATAACTAGAAAAAGTCGGGAGTAATTGCCAAACAGTGAAGAAATCTAGTGTATAATGAAAAAAATAAATGCTCGTCAAGTAGCGCGCATTGGTCGTAATCGCACGATTTTCCGTCAGAATACATACTCTTGCTCCAAGAAAACTCCGTAGACTTTTGTGTCTGGCCTCCTTTAAGATCTTTCATTTTCAATTTAAACCTATAAAAAATATTAAGTTTCAAGCAAGTTATGCCGTTTTCTATTTCCCATCCTTCCGCTCTCTTCTATGGCCCACATTGCAATTTATAGTTTAACGCCTCCTCTCTCACCTGTCAGAATTTCATACTTTGTTTTATTTTATATCATTTTGTAGCTATTTTCTAGTACTATCGTTTCCAATTCATCTTACTTTAAATTCTTAACTTTTTCGCAAGTTTTGTCCTTTCAAAAGTACTTGTCTTCCTCCCCTTGAATCTTCACATTTTGACCCCTAAAAAGTTTAAAGCCTCCTTTCGTACCC